ATTGCTGCTATTTGATGATGCACATGCCCTGTTCTGTAGGGAAAGTCTTAGTCAGAGCTAATTGTAGGTGTTCAGCTGCTGAACTCTGTCTGTACAGGTGATTATAGCTCGGTGTTTCACCTGTACTCACCTGTTTGTATGCTATTATTTGATCTGCCTGACATTTTCCATTGTTGTTATCTTCCACTATAACATCAAAATAGCCTCGTTCTAATCTCTGTATCTGGACTGTGGACTTCTTGAAATGAAGGTGACGTGAGGTGAACAGGTATGCTGACAGTACACATGTGTGACAATGCACTAGCACATATGTGAACCTACAACACTTGTGTGACAATGTACCAGCACATATGTGAACCTACAACACATGTGTGACAATGTACCAGCACATATGTGAACCTACAACACTTGTGTGACAATGTACCAACACATATGTGAACCTACAACACATGTGTGACAATGTATCAACACATATGTGAACCTACAACACATGTGTGTGGCAGTATACATACAACATGTGTCACAGTACACACAATGCTGGTTTTTAGGGATTGAAATGTGATTTGTTATGATGGTATGCATCACAGTTCAACTAAAACCTATTCTATGATGGGCAGTAGACATATGTATTTCAGTCCTTATATTTAAGTTCAAAACAGCAATGACAATATAATTTTATTAATCTATGAATTTACTGGGTTCAAAATATATTCTGAACAAACTGTTTTACCTGTTGGCGAAACAGCCATTTTTGTGGCGACAATATCATGCTTTCTATGGCTACCAATTCTGTCTGGCGGTAACTGCCAGTCAGAATCCATTTCTGTCATAATTTGAATTTGTAATGATTTCATGATTGGTCCCCGATTTCTCAAACAGTTTGACAGAAAGACCTGAACAGTTTCTGAAACGAAAAACATTCACAATGTAATGGTTCTTGATGTTATTTGATTATAACAACATTTGTTTATTGGTAGGTTTAACTAAGGACTGTACAAAGGAAATGTAAATTATAACAGTGTAAATTATAAATTATTACAGTGTAAATTATAAATTATAACAGTGTAAATTATAAATTATAACAGTGTAAATTATAACAGTGTAAATTATAAATTATAATAGTGTAAATACCCAACAAAACATGTCACAGTATATAAACTACACATATTTGTCATTATATGGGAAATCTGTGTGTGTCTATAAACAGTCTGCCAGTCCGTCTGTAGACACAAATTAATTGTTTTTCATTTCAGTTATGCACATTTTGTACAACATAAGACTAGTGTGGGTTTTTTTTTCACATAAACACGTTTTATACGCCCGTCAAATATTTTTTTGACGGGGAAGTATTATGGTATGGGGTTGTCCGTCCGTCCGGCGTAAACTTTGGTTTGTCCGGCAATCTCCTCTTACATTTTTCAACCGATCTCTTTGAACAAAACTCTTCGACAATTTTTCCAAAAGTTATTGCCCTTTGTTCATTTAAGTATTTGATTTTTTGTCCGGAGATCTCCTCCTACATTTTTTGATGGATTTCTTTGAAACATAGTAGGCTAAATAATCATGATATGTTGTTGTGTCTCCTTGAAAATGATTTTGATTCAACAATTTTTCCAAAAGTTATTGCCCTTTGTTCATTTCAGTATTTGATTTTTTTGTCCGGAGATTTTCTCCTACATTATTTATAGCATGTCAGCTAACCACTCTTAGAATGAGGCAGATCTTATTTCAATGTAAGAAAGTATATAACACTATATAACACTATATGGCATTCGACGGGTGTATATTGGTCCGCCCTGTGGTACTCTTGTTTGCAGAGTTATCCCCCTTTACATAATAATATATATCATATGTCCTGATGCCCTCTCCTACCGTATGGCAAGGATCTCTACAAAACCTTGTACTCCTTTGTATGTAAGGTAGTTTTTAACCATGCAATCTAGTTTTTTTATTTCGTTCAGTCTACTATTCCTAAGGTATAACATAGATTTCAATAAAACTTTGCAAACATCTTACTTTCCAAAAAGAACTGGTATGTGTGTGCATCACTACCTTTTAAGAGTCATGGTCTTTGATATAATTATCTTTTATATAAATGCACATTTTTCAGTGTAGTTTTCCATAGTGTCCATTAATCCAATGCAGTCATATTTAGCATCAAGTAATAACTGCATTAATACACTGTTAATATCCCCTTCAAACATTAAACTGATGAGGCGATGATGAGGCATTGTTGGTAACAACTATTATGCTATGGACATCTGTAGAAGATATTTGCTGAACCTATTACTTTCTGTATGTAAAATTAGGTACTACTTGTTTCTGCATGAAAATCAATAAACATGGTTTGAACTAAAATGTATGTGGGGGGCATGCATGTGCTGTGTGAATATAGGTGTTGTTTTACGTATTTCAGGGTTAATATGAATCTGAATTACAGCCATTGTTTATTTTTTTTATTTATTTGTTTTAGGAGTTTCAGGATAATGTTAATGTCTATGTGGCATTAGTGTATGGAGATATGTTATGTGGTGTTAGTGTATGGAGATATGTTATGTGGCGTTAGTGTACGGAGATATGTTGTGTGGCGTTAGTGTATGGAGATATGTTATGTGGCGTTAGTGTACAGAGATATGTTATGTGGCGTTAGTGTACGGAGATATGTTGTGTGGCGTTAGGGTATGGAGATATGTTGTGTGGCGTTAGTGTATGGAGATATGTTATGTGGCGTTAGTGTATTGAGTTATGTTATGTGGCATTAGTGTACAGAGATATGTTGTGTGGCGTTAGTGTATGGAGATATGTTATGTGGCGTTAGTGTATGGAGATATGTTATGTGGCGTTAGTGTACGGAGATATGTTGTGTGGCGTTAGTGTATGGAGATATGTTATGTGGCGTTAGTGTATGGAGATATGTTATGTGGCGTTAGTGTATGGAGATATGTTATGTGGCGTTAGTGTATGGAGATATGTTATGTGGCGTTAGTGTATGGAGATATGTTATGTGGCGTTAGTGTATGGAGATATGTTATGTGGCGTTAGTGTATGGAGATATGTTATGTGGCGTTAGTGTATGGAGATATGTTATGTGGCGTTAGTGTATGGAGATATGTTATGTGGCGTTAGTGTATGGAGATATGTTATGTGGCGTTAGTGTATGGAGATATGTTATGTGGCGTTAGTGTATGGAGATATGTTATGTGGCGTTAGTGTATGGAGATATGTTATGTGGCGTTAGTGTATGGAGATATGTTATGTGGCGTTAGTGTATGGAGATATGTTAGGTGGCGTTAGTTTATGGAGATATGTTGTGTGGTGTTAGTGTATGGAGATATGTTATGTGGCGTTAGTGTATGGAGATATGTGATGTGGCGTTAGTGTACGGAGATATGTTGTGTGGCGTTAGTGTATGGAGATATGTTGTGTGGCGTTAGTGAACGGAGATATGTTGTGTGGCGTTAGTGTATGGAGATATGGTATGTGGCGTTAGTGTATGGAGATATGTTATGTGGAGTTAGTGTATGGAGATATGTTATGTGGCGTTAGGGTATGGAGATATGTTATGTGGCGTTAGTGTATTGAGTTATGTTATGTGGCGTAAGTGTATTGAGATATGTTATGTGGTGTTAGTGTATGGAGATATGTTTTGTGGCGTAAGTGTATTGAGTTATGTTATGTGGCGTTAGTGTACGAAGATATGTTGTGTGGCGTTAGTGAACGGAGATATGTTGTGTGGCGTTAGTGTATGGAGATATGTTATGTGGTGTTAGTGTACGGAGATATGTTGTGTGGCGTTAGTGAACGGAGATATGTTGTGTGGCGTTAGTGTATGGAGATATGGTATGTGGCGTTAGTGTATGGAGATATGTTAGGTGGCGTTAGTGTATGGAGATATGTTGGGTGGCGTTAGTGTATGGAGATACTGCTGTTTCAGTTCTGTTATATTCTTTAAGACCTTTTGCCTACATATGTTATGTGGCGTTAGTGTACGGAGATATGTTATGTGGCGTTAGTGTACGGAGATATGTTATGTGGCGTTAGTGTACGGAGATATGTTGTGTGGCCTTAGTGTATGGAGATATGTTAGGTGGCGTTAGTGTATTGAGTTATGTTATGTGGCATTAGTGTACAGAGATATGTTGTGTGGCGTTAGTGTATGGTGATACTGCTGTTTCAGTTCTGTTATATTCTTTAAGACCTTTTGCCTACATATGTTATGTGGCGTTAGTGTACGGAGATATGTTGTGTGGCGTTAGTGTATGGAGATATGTTATGTGGCGTTAGTGTATGGAGATATGTTAGGTGGCGTTAGTGTATGGAGATATGTTGTGTGGCGTTAGTGTATGGAGATACTGCTGTTTCAGTTCTGTTATATTCTTTAAGACCTTTTGCCTACATATGACATGTTGTGAGTGAAACTTATTTACGTTGACATCTGTATAGAAAACTGCTGTTTCCATGTGTTGTTTGTCAATACCTGTTCCTGTTATATACGTTATGACATACGTTGTGTATTGATACCTGTTGTATACGTTATGACATAATTTGTGTATTGATACCTGTTATATACGTTATGACATACGTTGTGTATTTATACCTGTTATATACGTTATGACAGGTATCAATACACAACGTATGTAATAATGTTATATAACAGGTATCAATACACAAAGTATGTCATAACGTATATAACAGGTTTCAATACACAAATTATGTCATAACGTATACAACAGTTATCAATACACAACGTATGTCATAACGTAGACAACAGGTATCAATACACAACGTATGTTATATACGTTATGACATACGTTGTGTATTGATACCTGTTATATAACATTATGACATACGTTGTGTATTGATACCTGTTGTATACGTTATGACATACGTTGTGTATTGATACCTGTTATATTTGTTATGACATACGTTGTGTATTGATACCTGTTGTATACATTATGACATACGTTGTGTATTTATACCAGTTGTTTGGTGTTATCTAGGGTAAAGTCGAGGCAGAGCTACACCTACTCTCCACAGACGAGGCTGAGAAACACCCCGCAGGTCTCGGCAGGAATGAACCAGACCCCCTAGAGAAACCCAAGTAAGTTACATCTTTCTATTTCACCTTTTCTCCCAAATCCTCTCATATTTCCTCAAGATACATTTTTCCTTTTTTCTACATTTTTCCTTTTTTCTACATTTTTCCTTTTTTCTACATTTTTCTTTTGTCTCCACTTTAGTGTAAGGATGCTGACTACCAAATTTCCCATTTATTTACAAAAGAAAATTTTGGTGTTTTTACTGAAGCGAAAACAAATTTTAGCTGTGCTATATGTCCATCAAAAGCATAACTTGTCTGAAAAAGACCCAAGTTCATTTATGGAAATATACCATCAGCAGATCTGTTACAGAAACATATTAGTATCCAAAAAGCAAGATGGATTTACCAAAGTTGTTAAAAAGTTGATTAAATTCTCTGTTTCATGGAATCCTTATACAGCTTAACTACCAATGCTTATGACAAACTTCAGCACATTATTTTCTTTCATGAAACCACACAATACTTGAGGGTTGCCTCCCTTTCTCGATGGAGGTTTGCTTACTTTTTTACTTGATGGTTACATTTATCAAATGAAGGTTTATTCCCTATTTACACGAGAATTACCTCCCTTTCTATTTGAGAATTATCTCCCTTTTCACTTGATATTAAACTTTTCTTCTTTTAGGGTATCCTCTTGATGACCTCTTTTGTTTAAAGAACATTCTGACTCTGTTTACTTAGCCAATTAAACAATTTTGCTTAATATTTCTTTGTTGTAAACTTTGTCACACAAGAAACATTGTGCAAGTATACAAAATGGTTCTGTAAGACCATAAATAGTCACACATATTTAACGTAGAGCAACACGACACATTTAACAGGTGGTCATAATTTTGTCAGATGATTACACAAATTTAAACGTCTAACAGTAAATTGTCTTGTAAAAACAGTTATTTCCTGTACATTTAATATAAAAGTGAGTGACTAAATTTTTATCATCGATATTGCATTATGAATTTTGTGACATTGTTTATAACATTTTAGATTTGAATGAATACCATAGAACCTTGTAAATGTAAACAAGTAGGACAAATTTTGATTTATAAAAAGGTGTAACAGTAACATTTATTTCCTTAAGGTAGATAGTCCCAGCAGTATCTCCAACAAAGAAGAGTTCGCCTTTGTTCACCTATGATTGTTTTTGTTATAGAGAAAATTTATAGGAAAATAACTTTTCAACGCTATATATATATATATATAGTAGAAAAAAATGTTAGGACTCTCTACCATAACATGAGCTTCCAAAAAGAGAGAGATTTTTGGACTGTTGTAGTTCAGATTAACGAGGTTCCACGGTAAAACACAATGACTGTCTGCATGAGTTTATTGACTAATAATCATCATTGCCTTGGTTACCAGAATTATAACATGTTCTGTCACTGTTTACCTTGTTTTTTTCAGTCTGGGTATTTCTGCAGCTGCCAGCTCTTACTGCCAAATAATAAATTATTTCTCTACTTATCTTCTGATACTATATAAACTATTTTGTGGTACAAATAAATCTGAGCATTTTTTGTAGTGACGTTGGATTAATTACGACAATAATATTCATGAATTTTGTCTCCCTTAATTCTTTCCTCTTTTGAAGGCCTGACAAGTTTTTATCCTGCAGATTTTGTATACAGTGAAACCTGCCTTAACTGACATCAATAAAGAGAATATCATATGGGTGGGAGGGGGGGGGGAAATTAGACAATTTTAATGAAGTCATAGTATAAGGTAGGAAATTAGACGATCAGATTTCACTGGAGAACCTTAACATTATCTGTCGTCGGTAAAGTCAGGTTTCATGTCCTCTTTCACTGTTTCAACTGTTGATGTTGGACAAACAGAACAAGGTCTATGTGTGTTGCATGGTGCTGTGTTAAGCCATCTGACACTTGGTACACTGTATTTGCAGCCATCTGACACTTAATACTCTGTATTTGCAGCCATCTGACACTTAATACTCTGTATTTGCAGCCATCTGACACTTAATACCCTGTTTTACAGCCATCTGACACTTAATACTCTGTATTTGCAGCTATATGACACTTATTACTCTGTATTTGCAGCCATCTGACACTTAATTCTCTGTATTTGCAGCCATCTGACACTTGGAACTCTGTAATTGCAGCTCTATGACACTTAATACTCTGTATTTGTAGCCATCTGGTACTGATTAATAATTTTCTTCCAATTAAATACCTGTTTTATTCAACAGATTATACATGGAGTGTGAAGGCTTTCATTACTTTCAAACTTGCTTGCCCTGCTGTGTTTTGCTGCTTTTTTTCTTACCTGTTGGTTCTTTTTCACAGACGAGGGCAATGTTGTTTTCACTTTTTTTTTTTTTATCAATCCATCTATCATAACAATCTCTAGACTGTTTTACTAAAAACACACAAAACTTGGTCAATGATTTTGTCTGAGTTTCATTCTGAAATAAGCAATAACTTGGTCAATAGCAGTACTGAGGCAAGCATGATTTATCTATTTTAAATGAGGTGATACAAACATCAGTCATTCAGAATTGCTCATGCTTTTTTGCATTTTTTCTATCCTTTATGTCTGGGAAAAAAACGTTATTTAAAATAGCAATACTTGAGCCATAATTATACGTTTCAATTAAGTTTAGCATAAACAAGATACTGTTTAAGGTAAATAAATTATCCCTTATTTTTTAATTGGATCATGAGTTCAGAACATATTGTTATACATATGCACAAGTTTTTACCAAACTGCAGAAGCGAAGACATCATTTGCATTAGTTTGCTTGTTTTTAGTTTTGTGATTTTGTGGTTATTTACAGCCGCCCCGACACTTCCTTCATCTGGTTTCTGAATCCCTTCAAATCCATCCGCTACATCTTGTGGAACAACTACAAATGGGTCCTACTCAAGATGCTTCTCTTCAGCGCCCTTACAGCCATCTTGGTCCTCTTCTTCTACGCCATGCCGGGATATACCGTCAAGAGAATGTTCGGCGCTTAGGTAGATACTGTAATGTTGACCGTTTCCTGAAATACTTAGGTGGATACTGTAATGTTAACCGTTCCCTGAAATACTTAGGTAGATACTGTAATGTTAACTGTTCCCTAAAATACTTAGGTAAATACTGTAATGTTAACTCTTCCCTAAAATACTTAGGTAGATACTGTAATGTTAACCGTTCCCTGAAATACTTAGGTAAATACTGTAATGTTAACTCTTCCCTAAAATACTTAGGTAGATACTGTAATGTTAACCGTTCCCTGAAATACTTAGGTAGATACTGTAATGTTAACCGTTCCCTGAAATACTTAGGTAAATACTGTAATGTTAACCGTTCCCTGATATACTTAGGTAGATATTATAATGTTAACCGTTCCCTGAAATACTTAGGTAAATACTGTAATGTTAACCGTTCCCTGATATACTTAGGTAGATACTGTAATGTTAACCGTTCCCTGAAATACTTAGGTAGATACTGTAATGTTAACCGTTCCCTGAAATACTTAGGTAGATACTGTAATGTTAACCGTTCCCTGAAATACTTTGTTTGGCACTATTGTACCATCAGTGCCTGTAGATTGTGATTTTAGTTATTCTTTGTTTTACTCATCATTCACTTTTATTTTTGCCTTTTAGAGTAACCAGCTGTGTAAGATTGTCACAATTTATCTTTACAGCATTCCTAACTGACATCGAACTGTCCACTTTGTCTCAAACGCAACTCATCCATGTGTTGTATTGTGCTACTTTGTTTTTACAGCAAGCCCTCCTGACATTAAATTTTCTTGTTTTGTATTAACAGTGAGTCCTCTCGATGCTGATTTGACCTTTTTTTCCCTTTACAGTGGCTCATGGCTCCTCCTGGTTTTTAATGCATTTAATTAATTGTTCACTTTTGTCTCTATAGTAACATCCCCCCGCTGGGAAATGGTCAAATATGTGTTTTCAGCAGCCCCTCCTGAAATTAGTTTTTCAGCTTTGTCATTGCAGTGACCTCTACTCATCTTAAATGTCTAATTTTGTCTTAACAGTAACCCCTAAATTGTACTGTTTTGTCGTTATATTAACCTCTCCTGGTGTTTGTCGTTATATTAACCTCTCCTGGTGTTTGTCGTTATATTGACCTCTCCTGGTGTTTGTCGTTATATTGACCTCTCCTGGTGTTTGTTGTTTAATCACCTTTGTCCTTACAGCGGCTTCACCTGAGGTTGATTTGTCCAGTTTTTATCCTCACAGCCAACTTTCCTGATTTTGATTGTGAAATCATCTGTTTCCTTACAACAAACCCTCCTGATATTGATGTGTCCTCCCAGTGTTAAATTGATATGTACTTTCTTAGAAACAAACCCTCCTGTTATTGATGTGTCCTCCCAGTGTTAAATTGATATGTACTTTCTTAGAAACAAACCCTCCTGATATTGATGTGTCCTCCCAGTGTTAAATTGATATGTACTTTCTTAGAAACAAACCCTCCTGATATTGATGTGTCCTCCCAGTGTTAAATTGATATGTACTTTCTTAGAAACAAACCCTCCTGATATTGATGTGTCCTCCCAGTGTTAAATTGATATGTACTTTCTTAGAAACAAACCCTCCTGATATTGATGTGTCCTCCCAGTGTTAAATTGATATGTACTTTCTTAGAAACAAACCCTCCTGATATTGATGTGTCCTCCCAGTGTTAAATTGATATGTACTTTCTTAGAAACAAACCCTCCTGATATTGATGTGTCCTCCCAGTGTTAAATTGATATGTACTTTCTTAGAAACAAACCCTCCTGATATTGATGTGTCCTCCCAGTGTTAAATTGATATGTACTTTCTTAGAAACAAACCCTCCTGATATTGATGTGTCCTCCCAGTGTTAAATTGATATGTACTTTCTTAGAAACAAACCCTCCTGATATTGATGTGTCCTCCCAGTGTTAAATTGATATGTACTTTCTTAGAAACAAACCCTCCTGATATTGATGTGTCCTCCCAGTGTTAAATTGATATGTACTTTCTTAGAAACAAACCCTCCTGATATTGATGTGTCCTCCCAGTGTTAAATTGATATGTACTTTCTTAGAAACAAACCCTCCTGATATTGATGTGTCCTCCCAGTGTTAAATTGATATGTACTTTCTTAGAAACAAACCCTCCTGATATTGATGTGTCCTCCCAGTGTTAAATTGATATGTACTTTCTTAGAAACAAACCCTCCTGAGTCCTCTGAATTGTCCAATTTTCCTTTGCAGTGACTCGTCCTCCTGTTTAATTTGTCCTGTTTTGTCTTTACCTCTCCTGATATAAAATAGTCATTTTTGTCTTTACAATGATCTCTTTGATGTACAGAAATCTGTGTTTTATTTTGCCAATCCACTGACTAAAGTTTGTCCCTAATACTGTAACGTTGTCATTTCAGTCGGCCGGATTCCTCCTTCATCTGGTTCCTAAATCCCCTCAAGTCTATCCGCTACATTCTGTGCCACAACTACAAATGGGTCATCATCAAAGTGTTGATCGTCTTGGCGCTAGCAGCCATTTTGGTTCTCTTCTTCTACGCCATGCCAGGCTACATGGTCAAGAGGATGTTTGGGGCCTAAGTGGTACACGATGGTCGCAAACAAAGACTGAGGCGGTTCACATCCAGCATGCCCGCAAACTAGCGTAGACTATTTTGGTTTTCTTAATATCATACAGATACATCATTAGCAGGCAGGAAGGAAGCCACATTTCCGGGATTGATCAAATATTGATCACCATGGTAACACTGTCTGTCAAGTAATAGACATTTGGAATCCTATATTCGACAGGAAGTGGGGCTGTCGAAACAATAGCTTTACGGAAATGTCAATACTCAAGTCGCGCTTCAGTGCTTTGACTCGGATAACCAGGGGTTTTAAATATCCTAATATACAAATGTACAAAACAATCCTCACCTATCATGGAAAGTGCTCATTATCAATATTATAAAAAACTCCAAAGTGCAATAACTCTTCATACCTGTTGTATTGTTAACATGTTGACACGAATACCCTGTACAGAATGTATCATCGTTTTTTATGTTTAATACTGTTTTTTATTGAAGCACACGTCTCACTTAAACCTCATCCTCATCCAATTATTATCATCATTCACACATTAATTAATCCTATAGTCAACAATTCCTCAAATTTTCTCCATTCCATGAAAAGAATATTCTTATCTTAGCTCATACATTCCATGCTAGCATGTTGAAACTCTCTGAAGACATTCGGATGTTGAAGTGACTTTGTATGCTTTTTTCTGGGTGTTCTTTGATTAGCCTCCGTAGAAAACACATGGACATTCCTATGAAATTTATTAGATTTGTTTATTAATTTGTTTCAAACTTATTAAAATTTTGCTTTAATTTTAAGGGGGAGGGGGGGAGGTAGCAAACAAAATATCACTAGCTACCTTCGGAAAATACTCTTCATAAAGTTATTATTTTTGGGGCAAAGGGTTCTTCTATACAAAATTAACCTTCTGAAGACTCAGGCATCTTCCTCACAAAATACCAAAATTTATGTCCTTGATATTCCCATGGCCATGAAGTCTACTGATATCATTGTTTATACACATGGTTATTGAGGTTTACTTCTCAATAACACCATCCTTTTCTTCATAGAGGGTAAAGACCACTCAACAACACCATCCTTTTTTTCATAGAGGGTAAAGACCATTCAATAACACCATCCTTTACTTCATAGAGGGTAAAGACCATTCAATTACACCATCCTTTACTTCATAGAGGGTAAAGACCACTCAATAACACCATCCTTTACTTCATAGAGGGTAAAGACCATTCAACAACACCATCCTTTACTTCATAGAGGGTAAAGACCATTCAATAACACCATCCTTTTTTTCATAGAGGGTAAAGACCACTCAATAACAACATCCTTTACTTCATAGAGGGTAAAGACCATTCAATAACACTATCATTTACTTCATAGAGGGTAAAGACCATTCAATAACACCATCCTTTACCTCATAGAGGGTAAAGACCAGGAGGTTACAAAAAAGTTAGTGATCAAAGACCAAATCAGGTTTAGTGGTGAAAAGCCTGTCAAACTGTTACCCACAGTGTTGAGTTTGAACTACTGAATTGAAATAAGATGTCACATATATTTGAAACTTCTATTAATAGCTGTGTGGTAACTTGGAAACTGTCTCATTTGCTTTAAACTTTTCATTGTTTCATGTGTTCAATGGTGTATTTGAAAAGAGATATGAAAATTTGATATTTTCCGAACTCTTTTGTTTGAAAATTGATAAGTAGGGGCTGCTAAAAAACCTTGAATTAATCAAATATTAATATTCAGATTTTTTTACAAAACATATTGAGGTTTTTTTTTTACAAAACATGTTCTTCAAGATGAACAGACAAACTGTATCTATGGATGCTGTATTTTCAGGGTGTTTTTTTCTCCAAGAGATAAGTTATTTTTTTGACTGTTTTATCCTGATATTTTGGTAGATACTCACAGGTATTATGTAAACAACAATAGTCCGGTATGGTTTGTACTGATCTCAGCATATATTCATCTCTAGATATTTGTTAAATGTTAAGTTTGACCTTTTTTTTTTTTTGTTTCAAAGTTTTGCATCAAAAAATCAACAATAACAAAACTGATTAATTATTCAGTCGATGTCAGATTCAGATACTAATTCTGGGGTTTCCAGTTTTGTGATCAGGGGTAGATTTCATATCATGATAATTTTTGAATAAAGTTGACTGACTTGAAGCCAATAGGATTTCACTCTGTCATTATATATATATAGACATAGATTATAAGTTGCAAATTACACAAGAAACCTGAAATGTGATATAAATTTATGCATCCCAATGTTTAAACTGTACAAAGTATTGTTTACACCTGTACAAAGTATTGTTCACACCTGTACAAAGTATTGTTTACACCTGTACATAATGTTTACACAATGTTTTAGTGACATTTACACCAACTTTGTTGTTTGGTTACCTTTCCAAGTATATCCAATGATATCCAATGATATCGGAGAGACACCATCAAAATGTGAAGGTCATAAGGTCAGGCTATTTCGTACTACAGTTATTTAATCGCTATTGTCTGGTAGCTGTAACCAGACAATGCCACAAGTTCAAGGTCATTTGAGACCTGTAAGCACTGAAAGTATACTTTCTCATGGCTTTAATGAGAACAACAGAGGTTAACTGTATGAGTTTTAATTATGAACTTGTTCATCTGTTAGCAGTATCAGAGTCAATTAATTACATCAGTTCACAAATATGTTCACCAGTCACAAATTGTTCTGCAGTACACAAGCAGTTCACTCACATGCTCAGCAGTTCACAAACTTTTTTAACTTGTTCATCAGTTCATAAAAACGTTCATCATTCACTCACTGTGTCCCTCTATCTGGGAAGTATGTGTTAGATAGATGCACACTGTGATGACCATCCACCTAGTCCACATCCACAGTCCGATGGTCACTAGTTCTGTCATTCACTGGTCACTAGTTATGTTAGCCACTGGCCATAAAGCCACTAGTCACTAGGTGTGTTAGTCACTGGGCATACAGCCACTGGTCACTAGGTGTGTTAGCCACTGGGCATACAGCCACTGGTCACTAGGTGTGTTAGCCACTGGGCATACAGCCACAGGTCACTATGTGTGTTAGCCACTGGCCATACAGCCACCGATCACTAGTTGTGTTATCCACTGGGTATATAGCCACTGGTCACTAGGTGTGTTAGTTACTGGGCATACAGCCACCGGTCATAAGGTGTGTTAGCCACTGGGCATACATCCACTGGTCACTAAGTGTGTTAGCCACTGGTCACTAAGTGTGTTAGCCACTGGCCATACAGCTACCGGTCACTAGTTGTGTTGGCCACTGGGCATAAAGCCACCGGTCACTAGGTGTGTTAGCCACTGGTCACTAGGTGTATGAACCACCAGTTATCAGATATCAGCCACTTCAACATTTTTGACCAACAGGTTCCATACCAGAGGTCAGATATAATGTAATATCTACAACATTTCTGACCACATTTAGGTGTGTAGGTCATTGCTTGGGACCAGGGTCATTTATAAACATACTGAATGACATATACTGCCATATAAGTCACCAATGACCAGCAAAAAATAAATGATTTTCCAATTCGAAATTAAAATCTGGACATGGTGATATTTGATGTTTATAAACTGTGTGATTTATTGTTATTTGTTAAGTTTAGAGCAGAATAATGGTTGTGTCTTTTTGTGTTTATTTCAGGAAAAAGAAAAATTACATCATTGTTTTTGCATATGCCAAATTATACCCTGCATTCTTTAGTTGTTTCCTTTATCTCCTGAAATGATTCGCTTTAAACTGATGCATTGAAACATATGTGCACCCATTTTGAGGAAAACATTTGATACCCTATGTGTAATTAACACCTGTACATATGTGTAATTCACAACTTTACAAATGTGTAGTACACCTGGACAAGTAGCTGATCTTTTGTCAAGTCATCTCACACAAAAAATGACATAGGGTCAGGACTGGTTCAGTTGTCCTGGTAACTGGTCGGGACTGGTTCAGTTGTCCTGGTAACTGGTCAGGATTTGTATGGCTGTCATGGCTGTTCTGCACTTGTTTATTTATCATGGTAACTAGTCAGAATTAGTCTAGTTGTCATGGTAACTAGTCAAAATTAGTATAGTTGCCATGGTAACCAGTCAGGACATACTTAGTTGTAATGGTAACCAATCAGGACTTGTCTGTTTGTCAAGATAACCAGTCAGGACTTGTCTGTTTGTCATGGTAACCAGTCAGGACTTGTCTGTCTATCATAGTAACCAGTCAGAACTTATCTGTTTATCATGGTAACCAGTCAGGACTTATTTGTTTCTCATGGTAACAAGACAGGACTTAGCTGTTTGTCATGGTAACCAGTCAGGGCCTCTCTGTTTGTCATGGTAACCATGCCGTCAGGACTTGTCTGTTTATCATGGTAACCAATCAGGACTTGTCTGTTTGTTATTGTAACCAGTCAGGACATGTCTGTTTGTCATCGTAACAGTTTAGGACAAGTTGGTTTGTCAACCAAGGACTACTTAATATTTTTGTCCCACTAACAGGCTTGTGACACTACTCTAATGGTTCGTACCAAGATTAGCCTATGCACCGTTGATGTTAGATTAGCACACGAAAGGGGCAGGGGAGGGCAATGAGAAGATTCCATTCCAAATAAAATGTGTATATTAACATCAGTATCATCAAGATTGTCACTACCTGTGTTTGATAATTTTGAACTTGTGCAAGTCTACATACATATAGATCAATGTTAGCTGGTTTATATTGCATTGTTAATGGATTACATAGAGTGTGACTTTATCATATCATGGTCCTGGATTTACAGGGAATGGACAGGTACAGTGCGTTATAACAAAAAACTCAGGCTTAAAAGTTCCAGGGAACGGTTGCCATTCACAGTTCAAATTTTCTGGGAAATAGTTGCCAACCCCAGATCTGACCGTACATTAGAGATTTCCGACACTTTTCTGCTGTGTCCTGGCCTTGTAAAATGATTTTCTTGTTAAATATATGTTATTTTCTCTGTATTCATGGAAAGACAATTAAAGGTTAGGCCTTTTCAAGAAGTTGAAACATTTTGTATCCCCAGTAATATTCCAGTAAAGTATTATCATTTCAGACCTAAAGACTGCTAACATGGTCAGGCTACTTATTTATGATCAAGAGGTCCGGTGATAGAATCCACATATTGGAAAAAGGCTGAACAGATTTGAATTTTCTTTGTTAGAGATACTACACACTGCATTGTGTAGGGGTCACAGATTTGACCTTAGGTGGTTAAGGTGACAATGTTTATGTTGTGGTTGTTTACAAAAAAAATCCTTGTGTTACATCAAATATGCAGGTAATATAAAAATATTACTTCTTTCAAAATGTTAGTTTTAGCAATATTCAGCAGCTGACAGCCTTTTCTTACCTATCTGTCAGCACTTAAAGTATACAAACATATGGCAACCACATCTTAATGTGGAAACATATTTGAGGGGAAAACATGTTTGTCTTTTTATTTTATTACCAAACACGGAAATCAATAACAAGAAATGTATCCTGTTTTTAAACTAAAAGTCTTACTCACCAGCTGAAGGTATTGATGTATAACAGACTACATCTGGTGATAGGGGCGTGGAATACACTACCGGGTGGTGAGGGAGACAGTATAGACTATCACATGATACACCTCTCATCATCATATAACAGAATCAGGTGCAATCTCAGGTTTTCATTGTGTGTCAACATTTGACCTGATTCAGGTCTGTGACATGTGTACAATGTCATGTAAATCATTACCCCAGTTCCTGGAAATAGGTTTTGTTTGTTAGGAAGGGAAGGAGGGGTGAACTGAAGGAGAGGGAGGATAATATTGGGAGGAAGAAGAAAAAGGTAATAAAAGGAGGAGGAAAGTAACTAATGGGAGGATTGGATAAATGAGGGAAAGTGAATGATGAATGAAGGATGGATATAAAATGAGGGAAGGAGAAGGGTAAGTGAGAGGGAGAAAGTAGGAGAAGAACAAGTGGTACCAGGAGAGTGTTCAAGTATCTTAATAATGTAAAACAATTATTAAGATTCCCATTCATGAAGGAATGGAATGAAAGGGAGGGTTAATATCTCTGTCTTTAGGGACCACTTACAGCTCACCACTCCACCCCCTTTTGTACTCGTAGGAGGAATGAAAGCCCTCCCCTCTCCTCCCTCCCCCGTGTGTGTCCTGGGGGGAGTGGCAATGGGTTACCAGGGGCTACTGGGCTGTTACATGAGACAAAGCAATGTGTTAGCAGACTGTTTGTCCAGGATGACATAAGCTTGATAAATGCACATTCAGGAGCAGGTAAAGTTACGACATTGGGTTTCTCTCCAACATTGGGTTTCTCTCCATTACAGCTGTTATCTAGTTTTAATTTGGGTTACTTTGTTTTTATCACTATGATTACTCTGTACAACAGATGTTGTTCATGGCAAAACATATTTGTAAATAATACTAAGTGTGACATACTATCTAAGTATTGAGGAAGTATTTGATTTATATATGAATTTTGAGCCAAAACTCCATAAATAAATTAAATATCTAATAAAACTATGTAACAGGAAGTTGTTCGTTATGAATAATCAAGGAATGGATCATCTTCTACAATGCTTAAATAAAAAATAAAAAGTTTCTGTTGGGTTTTTAGCCCACCATCATCTGATGGTGGGCTATTCAAATCACCCTGCGTCCGTGGTCCGTGGTCCGTCCTTAAACAATTCTTGTTTTCGGTATTTCTCAAGAAGGGATCTTTCTCAAATTTTATATGTAGGTTCCCCTTGGTCCTTAGCTGTGCAGGGCAACTTTTGAGACTGATCGGATAAACAACATGGTCGACAGGCAGCCATCTTTGATATTGATAGTGAAAGTTTGTTATCGCTATTTCTCGGGAAGTACCGAAGGGATCTTTCTCAAAATTGATATTTAGGTTCCCCTTGATTCCTCGTTGTGCATGTTATATTTTGAGACTGATTATAAAACCAAAATGGCTAAAGGAAGAACTAAACAGATCTTTCTCATATTGCAGTAATCGATTCTATTTCTTTCACATTAAGTAATGTACTAGTAAATATGTGAAATGACAAACTCACTTTAAAGGTTGGCTTTCATACACATCAGTATTAAGTTTAGATCAAAAGTTACCTCAAGGTGCATTTACTGTTAACATGACTCGATCAAACAGATTAGAGGAAAGAAGAGAAAAGATCGAACTGACAAAGAACTAATGAAGATGGTACAATGGTGGGCGCCAAGATCCCTCTGGGATCTCTTGTTTTTCATTGAAACATTCAAATTTTCTAATATTACCCGGTAGCCAACTGAGAAAAATGATGGTTTTAAGTCTGTGGTAGGTTAAGATATTATAGTTAAATCTATAAACATCTTGCAAAGAACACGTACATGCAAATGTTTATGGCAAAAAGTTTTTTTACCTTTATGAAGATTTATCAGGAAATTTTCATTCACACAGAACGGAGGTTTGAGTAATGTATGAATACAGAGTTATCCTTCCCACTAATGTTGAGGGCTAGGTTTCCCCAGCCACAGAAAGTCGAGCAATAAAACTCAAGTACACAAGTATTTTAAATGCTTTTTTATCAAATTATATTTAACAGTTATGCCTTCTGAACTCCCATGGTCTTTTTTTTTTATGAAAAATGGTTATTTAAGAATTAGAGCTCGTTTTGTAATCTGATTTATTTATGGCTCTAAGGCAGTAGATATGGAGGTTTGTGGAGGGGTCTGATACACAGTACATACCACTGTAGGAAAAATGAAACGGGAGAAAAAGGACCTCTTGATAAAATGAAATATTATTAATTACGTATACATTATCGACTGAAAATAGTTTTGAACTACATGTATGGATCTGTATCAAATTCTTCTATCTAGACAATAGTGAACATGATAACAAAAAATCATTATTGTTATTGAAATATATCTGGTGAGAATTCTATACTTAAGAACAATAAAGAAAAGCCTTTTAAAAAGGTAAATGATTTAGAAGTATATAATTTCGCACCAAATTCTTTATATGGATCTCTTTTTCCCCCCATAAAACTGTATTCTGTTGAAAGGAAAATCGTCAATAATATATCACGAAATGACAGGAATTCTTTTTCACACAAGGTATTTTTGTATTATTATCAAAACATACCTAGTCAGTTCACCTCAACACAGGAACTATGGAGGGTAAACATGTTTGCAATACAGTAATGTTTAAAATTAAATTCAGTGCTGTAACAGTTGATAGATTCACATTGATAAAACCACAGTCAGGTAGGAAATAATTACAGCCATGTACATGGATGCTGCGTTATGTCTAATTCAGTGATATTGATACAAAAGTGGTTCTCTTCATGTCCATGTCACTGGAATGTTACATTAATTTTTCATAGATAGATGTTTAACTCTTTCATTGGGCACAGAAATATCCAGACCTGTTATCAACATGATTTTCTGTTAAGCATGCTGCAACAAAAAGTTGGGTGCAATAACGTTTGTATTGATGCTTTAAAACCTTCAGCTGGTCAGTGAAATATTGACATTTTTTTTATTTCAGCATGTTACAATCAGCACAAGAGCCGGAGTAGATATCAGAAAAAAATAGTACCACATAATTGTACAGTTAAAGCTAGTTAATCAGGAACTTTAAAAAAATAAATGGAAAATTGACCATAATAGCAACTTTATTACTGAACATTTTTTCATTATAAATGTCCTAAAAGTGTCCAGACTATCAAAGTTTGGGTTATCAAGGTTCCATTCCAAAAATTTGTTGCCTTGGTTACCAAGGTGTCACTAGTAGCCTTGGTAACCAAGCCTCCACTGTACACACAGTAACTGTAGCATTGGCTACCAAGGTTACACTGTACATACAGTTACTGTAGCCTTGGTAACCAAGGTTCCACTGTACACACAGTTAATGCAGTCTTAGTTACCAAGGTTCCACTTCACACAAAGTAACTGTAACATTGGTTACCAAGGTTTCACTGTACACACAGTTACTGTAGCCTTGGTTACCAAGCCTACACTATACACACATTTAATCTAGCCTTGGTTACCAAGGTTCCTCTGTGCATACAGTTTCTTTAGCATTGGTTACCAAGGTTACACTGTACATACAGTTACTGTAGCCTTGCTAACCAAGGTTCCACTGTACACACAGTTACTGCAGCCTTAGTTACCAAGGTTTCACTGTATACATAGTTACTGCAGCCTTGGTTACCAAGCCTACATTATACACACATTTAATCTAGCCTTGGTTACCACGGTTCCACTGTACACAATGTTACTGTAGCCTTGGTTACCAAGGTTCCTCTGTACACAAAATTACTGTAGCCTCGGTTACTAAGGTTCCTCTGTGCACAAAGTTACTGTAGCCTTGGTTACCAAGGATCCTCTATACACAAAGTTACTGTAGCCTTGGTTACCAAGGTTCCTCTGTACACAAACTTACTGTAGCCTTGGTTACCAAGGTTCCTCTGTACACACAGTTATCTAGTGTAGTTGTTAATGAACAAATGTCTTTCAAGTTTGAATTTAATGCAATCTTAGTTCTGTTGTCATAGTAACATGTGTTGTCAATAAAATTGTTTGTGTCACAATCCTATGGTTATGTTGTTATTTTATTTCTATATTGTTAAAAAAGAAATGTGTTCATTAAAACTGTCACCGTCCTTTATCTTCAGTCTCAGTTTGGTTATGTGTGAGAGATACTCCTGTTACATCAGTGTTAACACACAACACCAGAAGTAAACCATCAACACCTAATGGACAAAGACTTCTCTCTGGATCCTGATCTCTCAAATCTTGCTTTTCAAAATTATTTTTCACAATTATTCCTTTATTCAATACTTGTATGATTTTAGATTTGTTTAAGGATATTTTGTAAAGGTGAATAGTTCCACCCCTTTTCTGTTTGATACAGGAGGTATCCTGGTAAATTTTGGGGAGTTTGTAATAATTACCAGTAAAGTTACAGAAAAGTACCAAGATAGCAAATACCATTACTGGTAACACAGTTGATAAGCTACTAGCTTTGCTAGCTACAGGTCTGGGGATCGAATCTCATTGCAAGGATGTTTTGGTAAAAAAAAAACAGAAAATAAAAATAATGTGTTTTTTGTACTTACTCTTCTATTAAATGGGTAAGTTACTTCATTTCAATATCAATGTTTCAATATTCAGTGACAAATTATTATTTTATGGAATCTAATTAATTGTAAAACCTGCTGTTATTAAGACATTTAGCACTTGTTCTGGCAGCTTCATTCAAATATTTTATAACTTTTTTATGAACTTCAAAGAGGTACAAAATGTTCAGTCCAATTATTCTCACTAATTCAGAGAAAAAATCTCACTATTTTTGACCAAATCTAACTAAAATAATCACTGATCTCACTATTTTGCACCAGAAAGTTATGGCATGTATGAATTATTAAGTCAATAAAGGGCACCAAATTGGGATGAAAACAAAATGAGAAGCTCAACCTGAATCAAATTTCTTTTCAATAAATATGGATACTTATTTTTAATTTTAAATGAAGTCATAAAATTCTTCT